TCTTTTGATTTTATATTGGAGTGGCTGGATTGCTTTTGTCTTCAGGAGTTCCCACAGAGGCCCAATTCAGATGAGGGCCAGACATTTTCAGGCTTTCTCCTAAGGTCCGAATCCCTCCAGGAACGATTTTGGCCTCAGGAATTTGGGGGTTGGACTGGCCTGGGACCCTGGCCCAGGAAAGATGCTGGTGTAGGGCAGCTGGTTGGCGTTGCCACCCAGAGATGCAAAGGCATATGGGGCAGGAAGAGGCCCCAAGGACTCCTGGGGACTGCACTGAGGAGCTGTGTTGGTCTGGATGCAAAGGATCAGGAAGAGGAAAGGTCTGCCCCCAGGTCCCAGAAAGAGGCTGGGGGGTGGTGCAGGCCCAGGGAAGCAGAGGGAGGTGAGGGCGGGGCCAGGCCAAGAAGCAGTGCTCCTGGGGCCCAGAGAAGGCTCTATGTTTGTGTGGATGAAAAGGCTCAGGAAGCAGTATTGGTTCCCCAGGCGTCTGGGGCCCCAAGACAAGGAATGGGGCAGGACTCAAACTAGGAGAGACTGGTGGGGGAGATGGGAGGGTGAATGAGGGTGGGAGAGTCAATGCTTGGAGGGTGCGATGGACTTACCCCAGAGAGAGGCCTGCGAGTAGGAGAGAGGCCTGTCGGTGGTGCAGGCCCAGGGAAGCAGAGGGAGGTCTCTGTAAATGTTTTTATTGTGTGTCTTCTTTGCCCTAACAGTTGTACTTAAAAATGTAACCTAAGAGCCGAGTGTGGTGGTCCACGTGTATAGTCCCAGCACTTGGGAGGTAGAAGCAGGCAGATCTCTGTGAGTTCAAGGCCAGCCTGGTCTACATAGTGAGTTCCAGGACAGCTGGCGCTACAGGGAGCCCCTGCTTCAAAAAGACAAAAAAAATGTAACCTAAGGATAGAATAGACTGTTGCATAAAGAGGTAGTTACAATGATCTACATTATAGTTCTGATTATAATTAAAGCTGTCTAAATGCCTGCTATGGATTCACTTTTAGCTGATAGAAAGGCCAAGTTGGAAAAGGAAGATCACAAGAGTATGTGCAGTATGATCAGTTTCACATAAAATCAGATTATTACCCTTCTAAAACATGTTATACCTATACACACATATATAAGCTGAGGCTCATTATTAGAGATACCATATATGAAAAAATTATCTCACTACATGTTGTATAATATTTGATAAGTAGTTGATGCTGTTATTGTTAATAAGCAGCAATTATTAAACACTCTGCTGTGAGGTACTGTGCTCAGTACTTGTGATGAAGAAGATAATACCTTTGGGGATCTTAATCCTTGCCATTTGCCCATTCTGCTCTTGTTGGTTCTCAGATTAATTGTTAAAACACAGGATTGTCAATAAGGAGTGTGTCGTTTGTGCTACTACCACCAGAATATTGGTTTGAGAGATTCCCCCCCCCCATACTTCAAAGCTAAAGCCACAGAGACTGTTTTTTTAATTCTCTCCATTTTAAGATGAAGATGGAACCAGCTTGAATTCAAGTATCTTTGCAGCACTCAGAAAAATGCAAGATGGATATTTTGGCGGAGCAAGGTAAGTGACCTATACCCTGAATCAGGGGAGATGCAGCATAGAGCTGGGGAAATGGGAAGGAGGCCTCAACATTAGCAGAGGAACTATTGGCAGCTGATCACTGCTCGGTGACAGACAGTTGATCTTCTTTAAGGGCGACACTCTAGAGACACTGAATGAACAGGCTCCAGAGGATGAACGTGCACTAAGGGATATCTAGGTACAACAAACTTAATAGTCCTTACCATGGATGACAGAATGCATGAATCCAGTGGAGGGAGCTGGGAGGGGGGTTCAGGTAGGGGAGGGGGGCATAAATATAAGGATGCATTGTATGAAATGCACAAGAATTCAATTAAAAATATATATATTAAAAAAAGAAATTCAAGAGTTTAAAACTAAAAAAGGGAAAAAAACAAGAATGGCTGAGCCCTGCTTGTAATATAAGAAAGTGAAACTTACATTCAAAATAGATACTAAAACAACATAAAATCATAAGACTTCACTGCAGTCCTTCTCGGATATCATATCAGGAGGGTCATCACATTATGAGTGATATAATAATCTTGATCACTTGGTTTAAGTGGGGTTTGCCAAGTTTTTTCATATCCTTTCCCAAACAGTCTTTGAACAAATGGTATTAGCTTACATCGATTCTTGTGTGGAAGAAATATTACTAATTGAGTCATAAAATAGCCACCTAGAAATTTTTATACCTGTACACATACATATAAGCCAAGGCTCATTATGATAGAAGTATTTGTATCTGTCTGTCTACATTCATTAATTGGAATCTTGTGTATAAAATTATCTCATTTTGTAGTTTGTATTGACATATATTCATGGAGGGAGTCTTATTTTATCCAATATATCATGACCTGTTCCTGTCATTATTTATTTCATTTTTCAAACTATCCAAGTTCTGGCTTCTTTAGAAAATTAGTGTTACCAATTTTCTATTTTGAGTTTTATGATCAGCTTATTAAGTAGGAAAATATATGTCTTAATTTTTTTTGGTCTTTTTGAGACAGGGTCTTCCTGTAGCCCCAGCTTGCCTGGAACTCGCTATGTAGACCAGGTTGGCCTTGAACTCACAGAGATTCTCTTGCCTCTGCCTCCCAAGTGCTGGAACCAAAGGTGTGCACCACCATGCCTGGCATGGCTTCATTTAATGAATTATAATGTATAAAATTTTCAAGAACCATCTTTTGTGTTCAAAATAGTCTTTTGATGGTATTTTTAAATGATGTGATAGATTTGCTGTGGTTTATCTTCATTGTCCATAAGCATCTCTAATAGCTAATGCAAATTTTTACCAGACACTGTTGTAGTCAATGACATAGCATACGGCAGTGGAAGAGAGCAGAAGTAATTGGTTGGAGGATTGTCAAGCCATGATTGAAGACTTTCTTTAAAAAATCCTCTAACCATTTAAACTGAACATTATGCCCAGGAATGAATGCTGTGAAATTTCACTCTTACAAAATTTATACTACTTGTGAGTATTAGTAATTCTCCAACGTGGTTAAAATATGCTAGGTATCCCTTTATCAATAAGATTGTGGCATATTTATTTATTTATGATCTGAGGAATTGAGCAAAGGGACTTGTACATGCTAGGCAGGTACTTTTCTAACTAAGTTGCACTTGTAAAATTATGTTATTTTTGGAAGGATAGCCTCTGATTTTCTGTTTTCTATTTACTCTCTAATTGTAAGGATTCAAACAGGTAAATTGTCAGAGTTTTTGACAACATCTTGCTGTACACACTTAAGCTTCATGGACCCAGGACCTGAGGGTAAGCTGTACAGCGAAGATTATGATGAAGACTACGATGAGCTGGAATCTAGCAACTGGATAGATGGCTATGATTCAACCAGTAATGGTAAGGAAGCTGACTAGCAGGACAAGAATACAAACTACTGTTTAGCTTCATCATTAATAGCTTACGCTGCCAAGTCTCACAGTGTACCATCCTCACTCCTCTTTAATACATCTAGATTTTTACTTCAGTTTGGCCTCACTTTTCTTCCCTCTACTTAGCTTTGGTTTATGGCCTAACATTCCTGTGGTGACTGTGTAATGTGGAGTTGGACTGTGCCTTACTAAGGTTAGGGAAGACTTCATCTTGAGCATTTGAAGTGGCCGGTAATGTGAAATGGGAAGAGGTAGTGGTGAGTAAAAGATACTCAATTATGTAGTTTAAAACATCTTACACACATTACTTTTGGCATTAAAAATCAGAAAATATGAAATGTATTGAGAGTTATATTTAAACTTTCACTTAATTCAAGTTATTTTATGTTATGTATTAGAGGGATGTATCAATATCCCTGAGGAGGTCTGTGTAGTTTGGTAAAGCCTATTCAGAATACCTGTTCCTTTTGTGTAACAAACTAGACAACGTAATAAATGGCAAGAATATACAGATGATACTGTGAGAAAGCATTTTGAGAGCATGAATTAAAAATGGCTGAGAAACACTACCTGTAGCACAAAAGTACTGACCTTTTCAAGACAAGAATATATTGTTTGACTCTTGAAAAGAGAGGGGTCTGGCCAGACGTGGTGGCACATACCTTTAATCCCAGCACTCAGGAGGCAGAGCCTGTGGATCTCTGTGAGTTTGAGGCAGCCTGGTCTACATAGGGAGTTTCAGGCCAGCTGGGGCTACAGGGAGACCCTGTCTCAAAAAAAGTCCAAAAAAATTAGAGAAGGGTCAATAAGAAAGAATTATTCTTCTATCTAAATCTTGGTGGACCTATTTTCACTGTCTGCATCTTTGACTGTTAGATTATATCTTAAGGTACCAACAAGCATAATCTCATATATAATAAGACAGTACATTAGTAATCCAAAGTAGTATTTCCTTATTTGAGCTTAACATTTACTCTGTTCATCTTCACTCACTCAGTATTTCTTTCTGCAAGTTATGAAATAGTTTGAATTTCTTCATCAGAAAAATACATTAAGTACATGTCTATTTACCGTTACCAGTGATAATTGAAGTCATTAATTATATGTCTCAGCATAAAATATTTTGAAAGTTAATGAAAGTTAATCTCATGATTGAGATTGTTTGGTATTCCATGGATAGTTACAGTTTCTATTAGTATCATATACTCCCTTGAGTTGCTTTCTAAAATATCTCTTTTAATAATATATGTTATTAGATTCAATCTCTGGATTTATTCATCAGTGGTCTAACAATGGACTTGTTGATGGTTCACTAGCCCCCTAAGGGTACAAAGAGCTTTTCTCTATATTGATAACCCTCCACGTAAGTGTCTAGATTATGTTCAATGTTAAAATCTTTGTCATTGGGATGTCATTGAATATGAGTTCTGATCTTAGAGCTCCACCAGTTCCCATTAGTCACACTGGAGCACAGAACGACTTCTGGAGGGGCCACTGGTTGTCCAGGAACAGATGATCATGACTGACTTAGCTGACTTTGATGCTGATCCCAGCACTGTTCTTTTCTAATTGTAAAACATTATGAATGTTCATGTTAAAGTGTGAAGCTTCCATTATCTGTATTCAGAGATTATTATAGGGCATATACAGCCTTTTGACATTGTGACTTGATGTCGTCATCTACAAAGCTTATGCTTAAGAACCATGTGATGGAGTTAATTTTTAAAAATCTGATAATGTTTTGAGTGAGTCTGTGATTTGTATTAGGCCTCATTGATAGCTATCCTTGGTTGTATGTGGTCTACAGGCCATGGGCTGAACATGCCTATAAGATGTATGGCAGGAGGAACCTCAAGAAAATAGTTCGGAACTGTGTATATCATTTTCACAACTCTTAGCACCTAGACACTAGATAACAAACACATACTTGGTTAATAAATGAATGAAGTGACTAAATGGTTATTTATAGCCAATAGTCCTCTCTTTAACAATTTTACATGAAGATCCTTTTTTCTTATTAATTGTAATTAATGTTTGTTAAAATCTGTTAAAAATGAAACGCAGTATTTGGTGGAAGATTTTGGACCATCCCTGGCCTTTCTTCACAAAAGCTTCCTCTTACTAGTGGGACCTGAAAGAGCCTGTGCTGCTCTTTTTTCACCATTATCCCTCTTCTGCTGTCATTTCCATCACACACACACACACACACACACACACACACACAGCACAGCACAGCACACACAAAGCACACATGTACATGTACAGATTATGAAATACTTGTTTTACTTGTTCTAGAATAAGCTCATATAGCTTTCAGTAACCTTATCTGTTTCTCAGGAAATTAAGAGCAGATGGATCCTGGCAAGTGGCCATAATCTCTAAATATTAATCTATGGGGTTATATAATGATCATAAGCTTTTTCCCCCATGAGGCAAGAATAGCCTACTTCTGATACCTTGTTTTGGGTACAAGAGCCACTTGTTCTGATTGTTGGGGTAGATTTTGAAGTAACTAACATGTTCATTTTTGTCTCTTCCCCTTCCCCAACTAACCTTGCAGCTCGCTGTGGTGATGAAGTTGTTTGTTATTTAGATCACCTTTTGGCACACACTGCCCCCCATCCTAAACTAGCTCCTACCTCACAGAAGGGAGGGGTAAATCGATTCCGAGCTGCTGTGCAAACAACCTGCGACTTAATGTCCTTGGTGACCAAGGCCAAGGAGCTGCATGTACAGAGTGAGTAATGCCATGACTCCCTAGAGTCAGGCGTAGGAGGACAAGAAGCCCAAGATGAGGGTGGAGCACTGATGACATCGTAAGCAGGAACTGTTTTGTTTGCTGCTTTGTTCCCAGCATCTTGGGCAACACCTAGAACAAAGTAGGCATCGAGTACTTGTGAAATGAATGAATTGAATATGGTCTTGCTATGGATACTGTTGTGTAGTCTCATTTAGCCAAGAACACAGTAAGAGAGGACAAGAGAGCATATTCAATTTTAATACAGAAGTAAAAATAAAAAGGGCTTTCTCATTAGGAAAAAATACTTCTTTGGGAATAATTTTGTTTAAAGAGAAAGCATTGCAAAAATCTTGCAGAATATCTGAGAGACAGAGAGACTGACTGACTCCTTTTAGGCTACAACTGGTTTCCCCTTAAGCCAGTTATAGCAGTGCAGCGAACTGTTCTAGCCATGCAGGCAGCAAATGTAACAGTGATTCTTCACGGCATTGCCACTCTCCCCCGATGACCAGTACTTCCTGTACGAATGTTTGCAGTGGAGGATATCTTCTGTACATTGCAAGAGTGCTCATGGTTTCTGAGACTATTCGATGTCTCTGTGATAGCTATATATGAAGGGACAGAGGGGATCCTGGGCCACACCTAAATGACCTGAATGTTCCATTATACAGATGACGAGAATGATTGCAATGCATGCTCTTGCAACCTAAAACTTATTGACCATTACTAATCAAAGATACTAAATGTGAGCACTAGGGAATTGTTTAACATTTATAATAGGGAAAAGCTTAGCATATCCAAATGCTGTGCTCCTAGATAAAGGACTGACACAAGGACCTGAATTTTATTAAAGCTGCGTTTACCAATTGTGAATCAGGAAACGAGCTTAATTCCCAGCTCTGCTACATACTTGCTTGAGCTCTGTATCATCTCTCTGTAACTGTAAACAGTGAAAATGGCATTCTCTCCTTAGAGGTTATGCTAAGTATTTCAACAATGCAAGTAGATCTTAAGATTATCTCAAAGTTGACCAACTTCTACTTGTTTTTTGATTCCACAGATAGACTCATCTAGGCATAACCACTATCCCCCTAGGAAAGTCCAGAAAAATAAAACACAACCAGGTCCTTTCTGTTACATGTTTTGTTATATGAAAATGTCAGTAATAGCACCATTGTGATACTGACATACTAGTAAATGTAATATCTTATATGTCCAACTGATGGTGCAATTATAGATAAACAATTCAAAATACATTTATTGATTAATTAGATTTAAATTATCTAATATCTGTTTATTTTTATTGATATCAATAAAGGAAAATTCACCATTCTTGTTCTATGAAGAGCTGACCCATGTGTTACCTCATTGATGAAGTCAACCATGCATTTTCTTAGTCTCCTAATTATCCTAAATTTTTCCATAAATGTCAATTTCTTACAGATGTTCACATGTATCTTCCTACAAAGTTATTTCAGTCTTCTCGTCCTTCATTCAACTTACTTGACTCACCTCAATCTCCACAGGATAACCAGGTAAACATGCACATATTTCTATGAGCTTTTTGCAGAACTGCCATCCTTAAGGAAAATAATAGAGTTAGTCACTATGGTCTCTGGTTGTATACAAAACACTATCCTACTGAAGATGCATGTCTTTCTCAGTTTACTCTAGACTAGGCATGATTTTCTACTTAGACTTTGAGAAAACTACTGTGCTCTGTCATATGTTTTGTTGGTTTCATTGTTTTGGCTTTGCATTTCAT